ACCATCAAGAACATCTTCAGCAACAGCTTCAGCAACATCACCATCCATATCAGCCGCAGCAAAATGTTCTTCCGAATTTTCTTGCGACGCTACTCTTGCAGCAACTCTCTCATCAGTATCGCCGTCGTCGTCACTGCCTAGACTACGCTACACCAGACCGCGAGTAGACCTCTCTGCAACACCGCGACCATCATCATCGTCGTTGTCGTCATCACCGTCGTCACCATCAGTGCTATCACCCTTTATATTATCATCGTCGAAGTCTATTGCAAAGTTCTTTAATTTTCAAGCGCCTCCTCTGTCGCTTGCGTTGGTCGCATCAACATCTGTAGCAACAACAACAACAACGACATCAATAACATCGACATCTAGAAGTGTTCATGGAAACATCACTCCAACAACAACAACAACAATAGTTACGAGGACAATATCACCATCCTCAACCACAACTTCAGCAGGCATAAACATCGCATTAACAACAATAACATCAACAACGACAAAAACATCAACATTAACAACAACAACAACAACAACGTCAACAGCGAAATCAGTTGTGAAAACATCAACTGAAAAACCTACATCAACATCAACAACAACAACAGCACCATCGACTTTGTCATTTTGTTCAAATGCCACAACTACAACAACCTCAGAAACATTCCACAAAGATGTATTAGTTTCAGTAAAAAAATCACCAACAACAGCAACAACAACATCTCTTTTGTCGACATTAATAACAGCCGCAACAACAACGAAACCATCAACAACATTAACAACATCAACGTCAACAACTACTTCAACGACATCTAGAAACTCAATAAACCTCCTCGAATGTGATCAGAATTATTTTCGTACCACACTTTTTATACATCTAAATGACAATATCAACAACAACAACATTAAAAACAACAACAATAACATTGAAAACCACATTGACAACAACAACATTGACAACAACAACAACATTATTAACAACAACAACGTTAACAGGAATGTTACTGCTAAATGCGTAAACAATATTAAAAATAGTACACACAACAACATCAGCAGCAACAAAAACATCAACAACAACAAAAACATCAACAGCAATAAAAACATCAACAACATCAACAACGTCGTTTATTCTAATCTATCGAAAAAACTAGACAACACTTTCAGCTGCAACAATAACAATACTAACAACAACAACAAAAACAACAAAATCGGACCACTGAATAAACCAATAAATAAAAATAATAATAACAACATTAATAAGATTTCTTTTAATAATAATAATAATAATAACTTTAACAACAAAAACAACAACAATGTTAACAATAACATTCTCAAAGTTAATGTCGTAAACAAGATCATTAAAAATATCAACAGCAACAACAACAAATACAACAACAACAACAAATACAACAACAACATCAAGAAAAATATTACCAACAACAACAACAACATCAACAAAACTCTGTTAAATTGTTGTATTAAAGGAAGAAACAGAGAAACCAAGTCCAGTTGTTACAAAAATAAATACAAGCATAACACGCCACCTGGCTTAAACGTCATCAACAACGACATCAACAACTACATCTGTAGCAACAATTACGTCAGCAGCAACAACAACAAAAACATTAACGACATTATCGACCATAACAACAACAACAACAACTGCTACTGCAACATCAGTAATTGTTGTAACGTTCCTAACAAGTCCATTGATGATATTAATTGCAGCGACAACAACAACACTAGCAACAGTATGGATGTCGATGACAACAACGAAACTTTTTCAACTAGTTGTCAGTTTGTTTTAACGAAAGGTCAGCAACAACAACAGCAACTACAGCAACTACAATATCAACAACAACAACAACAACATCATCAACCACAACATCAACAACAACTACAACCACAGCGCAAGACTGAGAAACATCCTGATGATGTTCTGGATAGCTACGCCGAAGATGATACCAAAGATGTTACCCGCATAAATTATGATAATGTTAACCATTCTAATCATTTCGATAATAATATTAATCATGATGATGATGATGATAGGAGAGTTGAGGGTAATAGGGCTAGTAACAATAACATTATAAATGTTCTTAATGATGATAATGATGATGATGGTTGTGACAACGATGATGATGGTGGTGGTGTGGATAATGATGATGATGATGACCATGGTGGTGGTGTTGCTGGTGATGATCTTAACCATGCTTCTGAAATCACTTGCACACAATATTTCAACAATGGATTTGACGACGATGACGATGATGATGGTAATGATGAAAGAAAAGCGGTTAGCAATAACGATTATGGAGGTAACAACGATAATGATAATGATCCTCGTCATCATCATCATCATCATCTGGCACTTTATGATGATGCTGATAATGATGATGACGCTAATACTAATGCGATTGATGACAACATAGTGATGGCCATGTTAAATGGTTCTGAAGATGACATCGCTGGTGGTGACGATGACGATGGGGATGGTGGTGAGAAGAACGACAACGTATGCAGCGATTCTGTTGATGACAACAACAACAACATCAACGATGGTGACAACAACACTATTGACGTCATCTGCTCAGCTCACATCAACAACTCCAGTAACAAAGCTGAAGTTGAGAGGGATACAATTGATGGAAGTAGTCCGGACAACATCATCTCATCAAGTAACAACGACATCAATGATGACGTCAACAACTCTGAAAACATCATCAGCGATGACAGCAAAATTGGCATCAGCAATCACTGTTACAACAACTGCAACAACAACGTCAACATCAACAACAACAACGTCAACAATAACTGCAACAACTGCAACAACATCAACAACAACAACGTCAACATCAACAGCAACAACTGCAACAACAACAACTGCATCAACTACAGCAACAACAACATCGACTGCAGCATCAACAACTGCAACATCAACTACAACAACTGCAACATTGTCAACAACAACAGC